TTAAGGCTGGGTAGGGTTGCTTCTGGGACTGTGATGATGAACAGCTAGTTTTGCAGGATAAGGAGAATTATAGCTGTCTTTCTGAAGGGAGCCAGCTCTGTTCTTTTCTTCCCTTAACCATTACTGAGGGCTCTGAAGGGTGAAAACTGGCACCTACAAGATGGCACCTTCAAACTAGTTGTTACTCAGGACTACTGGATGGCAATAAGACTGGGTGAGGATATTTGGGCTAGAAGCATATGGGGAGGGCACTGTGGAGCAGATTGCTCTTGTAATGAACGCTTTGAATACCTGCTAATTGATTTTGTCAGTGAGGTCAAGGGATATTGCTCTTGTGGCAATTTTGTACAGTCTTGTTCTCTGAAAGCCAGTTCTGTGCCAAGAGAAATCACTGGAATGCAACTTTTTATGAGTTGAGATAATCCGTCCTAGGATTGGCCTCAGATATTTATAATCTGTCAGTGTGCTTCTAACAGAAGACAGCACAAAATGTTTTTATATATTTGGACAGTTATATTTAAAAACAGCTGGGTTTCTGTCTCTCCAAGAGCAGCAGAAACGGTTCTGCGTTACCCTCCAACAAGCAAATTTATCATATAGCCTTTTCCTATTGCAGTCCCCACATGGAACATGAGGTGTCTAGACAAGGAGTTCTGTCACAGACGTGTACATTCAGATGCAAATATGCCCAATCATATGCAAACATGCCCTATTTTTTCATGGATGTGGATAATTATGTAAAGCAGAGGTCCACTTCAAATGGTCATACAGAGAGCACCGCTATGTATATGAAAGGAAGAGAAAATAGGAGGGTACCTGTGTTTCTTGCCAGAAATAAATTTCTCCTAGGAAAAAGATCTGCAGCAGACCCTGTAACACTGAAGGTCTTGCTAAGAAGCAGAGATATGGGACTGCTGAATATAGAAGCCAAATAACTCAGAGGAGAGGATGATGCTGCATACACCTTGTTTTTGTAAACTCTCTGATGTGGCCAGTATATAGGGCAGGTCCTGTGGCAGATGGTGCTTGGTCAGACACAAGAAAGGCTGTTCTCAAGTTCTGCTTGTTCTGTTTTTTTTCTAGAGTTAGACAGTAGCGGAAAACTTCACATCTTGGTAAAACCAGAATCATCCAAGAAATAGACAGGCCACTTCTGAGTGCTATAAACCAGCTGCATCTTGACTGGCTTTACCTGGAATGAAATGAGAAGAACCTTTTAGTGCCTTGCTCATTCTGTTCACGCCATGTGCCAAGGAGAGGTGAAGCTACCACAATACCTTCAAGGAGCTCTGTGCACAATGACTTCAGAGAGTGGGAGACAAGATCAGACTTCAGAGTGATGCTTTCTCCCGTCAAGTTTGCAGAAAGATCCGTCCTTCAGAGACCTTTTTTTTATACACACTCTGTTTTTCAAGCCAGTAAGAGCTGGTCTAACACTTCTAACACAATGGACAGCTCAAAATAGGATGTATGTGCAGCTTCAATGCAGCACATTTTCTTGTTCGATTATTGTTTACGTAACACATTTAGAAGGGATTGTCCCTCTGTTTGGCTGCCAAGTCTTTAAAAAATATTTCATCTGCAATCCATCAGTTGCCAAAGAGAGGAAAAAAAAGGAGACCAGCACCTTGTTAGTGTGCTTGCTTTTGTGTTACCTATGCAAGTTTAATGGTGGTCTTAAAGAGAAATGTGTAAAAAATGAGCAAAGCCTGTAAATAAAAAAAGTCTGTAAAATACTAACAGGAAAATATAAAATATTTGCCACGTTTTAAAAAAACATCAGAGAATTAGATAAAGAAAAGAAATCAGAAGATCGGATTACAGTCTAATGCTGAAATTAATTATGTTTAAGAGACATTTCACTCATTATATCAAAACAAAATCCCACCAAACCTGCTTAAAAGTAACTGATCATTATTTTAGCACGTTTACAGGTACAAAATTGAAATGGTTACAGGAGCAAGCAATCCTTACATATAAGGATTTTTGTTTCTTTCTTGGGACTGAGAATGTGCTGGTTTTCAAACTTTTGGAAAATATAACATAGCTGCAAAGACCTTTCCTTTGAGGATGCTGTTTAGGGCAAGGCTGTTATAATCAGAGGATTCTGATGTGAGCTTTTTTGGCTCTTTTGCTAGTAGAATCGTTACCTGAAAGCAATGGGGTATGACTAATTCATATAGGGCTAAATGGCCTAAAGGACAAAAGAGGTGACAAGTATATTTGGATGCCTGTAAAGTGTTTTATGTTACCAGAAAAATCCCCAACTCCTTCTACTATATTCAAGAGAAAGAGTTTGTGCTGGAAATGTTGATTCTATGCTCTGCTGATAGGAAAAGTAGAGCCAAAAAAATTAAATACATGGTTGAAAGTACATTAGTTTAATGGTCAAGTGATAAAGGGAGAATATTTTAATTGGAATAGTTTGTATTAGGTATTCTTTTCATTATAACGTTTTAGGGAGTTCATTAATGTAATTTTTGCTAGATAGGACTTTTTTCCATTTATTTCTATTTGTTTTCATTTATTTAATTCCTTTCTACTCCATTAAAAAAAAGAAACCTTGCATTTGATAATTATTTTTTGAATGGCCGAAAAGCTATGTAAAATTTTTAATTCTGACAAAAAAATACTTTTTATTCTTGATGACATTTTCTTGGTAATAAACATTGAAGTTATATTTGCCTGGAATGTTCTAATCATCAAATCATAGAATGGTTTGGATTGGAAGGGACCTTTAAAGGTCACCTAGTCCAACTGCCTTGCAGTAATCAGGAACATCTTCAATTAAATCAGGTTTCTCAGAGCCCCACTTAACCTGACCTTGAATGTTTCCAGGCATGGGGCATTGACCATTTCCTGGGGCAACATATTTGCATGTTTCACCACCCTCGGAGTGAAAAATTTCTTCCTTGTACCTAGTCTGAATCTACACTCCTTTATTTTAAAACCATTAACCCTTGCTTGTTTTTTTTGTTTTGTTTTTGTTTTTTGTTTTTTGTTTGGTTGGTTGGTTTTTGTTCTATCGCTACTGTTTCTGTTAAAGAGTCTGTCCCCATTTTTCATATAAGAACTCATTTAAGTAATTCCTCATAGGAGGGTTGTACTATCCCTCATCAATTTTTGTGGTCCTCCTCTGAACGTGCTCCAACAGTCTTTCAACACATGTATGGTTTGAAATATTCTTTGCTTTTTTATTAGACCAAAATTCAAAAAAGCAAAAGAAGAAGCCAAATACCTTGAGGAAAGTATCATTTGTTGTTCATGTAGCTTGCTTTCATGTGAGTTAAATTTGCGTGTACATGAGGTAAGATAAGTGTGTTCCAGTTTGTGTCAGAATGAGTTGTATCTTTTGGGACAGAAGAGTGAAGCAAGTGCCTATCAGAGGATTCATCTGGCTCCACTCATTCTGGCTCCCTCTTAAATTCAAACTGGGATGCCTAATTTTCTACATCTGTACCTGAGCAGTGACCAAATTTAAAGAAGAACTGACTGGAATAGCTTTCTCCAGGCACTTGAAACTTTTTACCAATTTAACTCCTTCAGGCCTGTGGCATGCTCCTTTTTTGATTCAAGTGTTTCCCTGTTGCTGAGAGCTGCAGAGATTAGATAAAACTTTGCCTTCTTTTTTTCTACTGCCTGATATGGGCTTAAAAGAAGAGGGAAATCAAAGGAACCTTGTGCTGTTTCTTTTGATATTGGTCATTTTTTGGAGGCCACTCTTTTGGAACAAGAGCTCCGTTATGGGATTGAAAGATACTTGGTAGAAATAAGGCTGTGTTTGGTCACCAAATTCTTTAGGGCTGTGAGCCTTAGAAAATGAAGGCCACTCATGTAAACATCTAAAGAAGGGCATCAAAAGCCTAGTTGTCACCAAACACTAGTTTTACCTTTGCCTCAGAAGAAATCATAGCTAGAAAGGCTGTCAAAATGCACCATTGAATACAGAAGTGGATTCTGGCTATGGAGAACACAGCTTTCACATGACACATCTGTGAGCCTGTAGCCCATCTTCACATGCAGTATTCCCTCCATCACCTGCCTTCTGTCTGTTCCAGAGCTCTTCTATCAGCAAGGGTCAATGACATCTGACTGGAACCTACAGGGAAGCAACAAAATTATGGTAAGTGTCTGTTTTAGTTGTGGGGTACAGGGCATTCCTCTGGTCTTCCCAAGCGCCTTCATTAAGAATGGTTCCATTATTTGAAAATAAAAATCTTTCCATAATAGAGGAGAAAGCTGCCTGTTGAAAACCACTTTTCCTTGCACTTAGCCCCCCAATCACTGTTAGAACAAATACATACACTTCTGATAAAATTGAAAGCCTTTTCCCACAAGTGTAGCTTTTGAGATAAAGCTGTCTGAAGTAGGGGTCAAAAGTCTGTGTTTTATAAATGTCTGACTCAGTGGGATATATTTTTACACAGCATAGACGAGAAATCATTTTAGATTTCAGTAGGGAGTAGACTCCCTTTCTCCATTCCCTCCACAGTAAAAATCAGTCAGGGAAAAACAAACAAAAAAACCCCATTTCAGTGAATTAATAGTTCACCCTGTGTAGAGACACAGCAGGAGATGAAGAAGTAGACACTAGCAAAGGACATTGGCTCTACTGAATCTCAATTGCCACTGTTTTCTTCAGAGAAATTAAGAGTATATTGCTTCTCAATTTTCTATAAATCTGCATGGATAATTTACACTATTTAATAATTTTAATACTTGTTGTTCACTGCTGAGAGAAATGAAGACTCCAATAATATCTCATTTTGGGAAATATAGGTCTTGCCATGACTTGAAGGAAGCAGGCTAAAAACCCCCTAAAATTCTCTTTATTAACCTTCAGAGATTATATTCAGAATGGTACCTCTCACAGTGTCATGTTGCATGCAGCGTAGCTTTGCTTACCTAAAGTAGGGCTTCTGGACTTAAAGCAGCTTGCTTTTCACCAATCTGCCATATGTAGTGGGCTGACCCTGGCTGGATGCCAGGTACTTACTACAGCCTCTCTCTCACTCCCCTCTGCAACTGGACAGAGGAGAGAAAAAAAACAGCGAAGGATTCATGAGCTGAGATAAGAGCTGGGAGAGGTCACTGACTGATCACCATCATGGGCAAAACAGACTCAGAGTGGGGATATTAACTGAATTTATTACTAATAGGGTCAGAGTAAAAGAGTGAGAAGTAAAATAATCTTAAAAACACCTTCCCCTCACTCCTCCTTCCTTCTATGTTCTCCCTTCTCCTCCCCCAGCGGTGCAGGGGGACAGGGAATGGGGGTTCCAGTCAGTTGTTGTTTCTGCCGCTGCTCAGGGAGAGGAGTCCTTTCCCTGCTCCTGTGGGGTCCCTCCACAGGAGATAGTCCTTGATGGACCTCTCCGGTGTGAGTCCATTCCTCAGGCAGCAGCTCTTCCCAAACTGCTGTCCACGGGTCACTCCTCCATGGGGTCAGTCCTTCACCAATGAGCTGTACTGGTGTGGGTCCCCCACAGGGGCCACAAGTGCTACCCAGGAAAAACCTGTTCCAGCGTGGGTTTCCCTCTCCAGGGGCTGCAGGTCCCCAGCAGAACCCCGCTCCATCCTGGGCCTCTCATGGAGTCACAGCCTCCTTCCTGCATCCACCTGCTCCAGCATGAGCTCCTCCATGGGCTGCAGGGGCACCTCTGCCCCACCATGCTCTGCCCCACGGGCTGCAGGTGCCTGGAGCACCTCCTGCCCCTCCTTCTGCACTGACCTTGGTGTCTACCTTGTTGTTCCCATCTTCTCACTCTGCTCTTCCCTGGCTAGAATTCTTTCTGTGGAACAACCTTCTGTTCTTTAATATGTTATCAAAGAGGCATTACTGTCACTCCTCATTGGCTTGGCCTTGGCCAGCAGCAGGAAGCCCATCCTGGAGCCGGCTGGCACTGGCTCCATGGGACAGGGGAAGCTTCTGGCAGCTTCTGACAGAAGCCACCCTGTAGTCCTCCTGCTACCAAAACTCAGCCACAGAAACCCACTACACCATCTGAACTTGTGAAAGGGATTTGTAATGGTACAATTGCAGATTCAGTGCAGATAAATCCGGAGGCAGACTTCAGCTTTTCCTCTGTTCCCATTGCATTTGTTACCATAAATTTTGGACTGTGTGGTGTACTATGGTGAACTATCCTAATGCAACCCTGGTCTTTTCTCTGATTTGATTCTAATTAGTTCCTATCTGAACTCTTATCTTTTGCTTTAATTTCATTAGAACATAGAATGAGTTTTATAGCTCCATAAGAAATGAAACATGGATGCATTTGGTCTTTTATTTCCCCTGAAAAATAAGTTCCTATTTTGTGCTGTACACAACTCACTGCAGTATCATTAGCAGATTTAACATAAATAATGGAGGGAACTGAGGATTTATTGTGGATATAAATATGATAAGTGACATAAGAAATGGATGACTTAAGGAGAAAGCTATCACAGCTTCATAAATCCATGAAATGTTTACTAATTTTCTGAGTCAGTTCAGTTCTAAGATATAAAAGTCATTGTCTCAGATGGGGATGATTTTGACTTTCACAGATAATGTTGAGGCCTCTGTTATTCAGGGCATGATGTAAACTGCTAATCATATGTGTTTACAGAAAAAAAACCTGTGGAGATTCTCTCTGGGACTGAATTTTCAAATGCAAATATTTACACATGAGGAATAAGATGGCAAAGCTTTGTTCTCAATTTCTCATTTTGCTCCCTGCCTTCCACCCTATCATCAGTAAGGGAGGTCCTTTTTTATGCTTGACATGTTTCTGGTTTCATTTTCTTCATAGCAAACTCCAGACCAACAGCAGCACAGTGTCTATGACTAAAGACGGCAAGAAACATCAAATATAATCCCTTGCTGCATCATTCACAAAAGCTTAAAACTTTACTGAAGCAATATTTTTCTTTTTGCCTGTATAAAGTGTGCTTGTTACTAACTCTTTGCCTTATGGTGAAGTACAGATATTCACACTGACATGGAAGACCTGCTTTGAGTTAAACCCATCAAGTTTCTGGTGTCTTGGTTGACTGGCCTGCGTGTTAAACATTTCTTACCTCTCTTTCTTTGTGCTGTTGTTCACATTGCATTGCAAAATCACAGTTGGAACTCTGGCCTAAATAAAAATTAATATTTAATCTTTCAGTATAATTTACACATAAAATCTTTCTTGAGAAAGATACATACAGATGTCATATGCTGAAGCAATGGATGTGTTGTGTGGTGTAGGATCATTTCATTGCAAAAGACTGATGTAACTATAGGAAGAGCAAGGAAAACAGAATTCTCCTTGAAATCTGGGATGAAGAAGCCTGTTTCTTTCTCGAGGTATTCGATGTAATGAGGAGAAAACCTCTGCTTTTCTGCATATAAAGGATGAGGCACATGGCTTACAAGTTAGTCAAATGATCTGTGGAGTTTGAAATTGTCGTTTTCCATAGTACATGGACAACAAAATTTGGGAGAGTTGACAGCCAGGATCTACTGTGGGTGGATATGGTAAGTGTCTTCAGAGCACATTCTTCGCAGGTGGCTTTTTAGAGTGTTACCTCTTCATGCAAAATTATACTATGGCTTTTCACTGCACAGCTTCCATTCTGGTGCTTCCTCAGGGGAGACAGGATTAGCCCTCACCCTTGTCAAAAAGAAAAAGCTTGTGTAGGGCTGGACAGGCTGGTGAGGCTCCTCAGAGTCTGGGAAATCAGGAAGCCAGATAATAGATATTATTTATTTCTCATTCATTGCAAGATTCCTACAATGCTACATTTGATTCATAGCTATATAATCCAATTTCATCCTTAAAGCATGACTAATACTGAATTCAGAGCAAGTTGCATGGGCTTTATCCAAAAAATCTTGAAAACCTCCAAGAATGGAGACCGAATAGTCTCTCTAGAAAAACTCTTCCATTTTTTTTTCTTATATCCATCTGAACCTCCACTGATTTAATTTTTGACAACTGTCTCTGATCCTCCTTCTTTGTACCTTTGTGAAGACTTTTTATGTCTTCTTTATGACCTTGTAGGTACTATAAGACAATTATTAGGTACCCCTAAAACTGTCTTTTTCTCCAGGCTGAACAAGCTTTTTTCGCAGGTGCAGGACTTCGCGTTTCTCTTTGCTCTATTTCAGGATGTTTCTACAAGCCCAATTCTCTGGCTTGTTTGCATCTCTACGAATGACAGGTCTGCCCTCAAACATATGAACTGCAACCCCAATTTGGTGTCATCCTCAGATGTGATGAGATGCACTGTCTATTCCTGCAGGTCATTGACAACAACATAAAATATCAGATAGGATCCAGGAGAAATCCCCAAGAAAAGCCACCTGTCACTCAAGTCAAGTGAAGTTCATATCATGTCAGCCACTTCATTTAGAACCCAGTGATCCACTCCTATTTCACCCAGGGAGTTATCTGCCTGACTAAACCAGTAAGTTCCTTCTTGGATAAAAGGATACTGTGAGAAACCACCTTGAAAGTCTTGTTAAGGTCAGGGTTACCAACATTCAATGATTTTCCTGCATCTGCACCCTTGGTGCAGTCATGGGGTTTTTTCCATGATCCAAAATATCATGCTCTTTTCATCAATGTACCTGGAAAATATCTGATTTTCCACTAAGTCTGGACTATTTAGCTGAACGCTAATGTCACCAATGAATCTCGTGCATAACACAGCACAACACACAGATGTAGACATCTTTTACTTACCCTTTCTGGACACTGCTTGCTTTTGTTCATTCTCTTCATGACACCTGTCTGACTTGTGACAATAAAGTCTTCTTCTCAAATGGGAACAAAGATGGAAAAAAAAAAAAGGAATGGGAAACAAGTTAGTTCCTGACAAGTTTGACATTAGTCAGGCTTATGTCTCCTAAGACCCTAAGCCCATTCTGAAGTGAGCCCAGAGATGGGACTTGACTTCCTGCCTTATTAAAATGGCACTTTCTTTTTACCTTGGAGTAAGTACTCTGTGTATAAGCTGTCTTAAAAAGAGGTAAGATACTAAGTGGTTTTGTTTTTCCACAAGGCTGTCACGAGGGTTATGGAAGAACTGAGGTGAGTTGACTCATCTTGTAACAGAACTGTCACTCCTCGTGTTAACTTCTTGTAACCCAGGGCAGCGGTGAGACTCAGAAGTGATAACGAGCACTGCTTTCTATTTTCCTCTAAACCAAAGAACAAAACTCAAGAAATTCAATCACTTTAAGGCAGTTCAGAGACACAGCTTTTACACTCACTATTTTCCCTGAGTATAATGTCACTATCTTTCAAATATGGGCTAACTCCTTAATTTTTTTTTTTTTTTTATGTAACCCCAGTCCTGCTTATTCTGATCTCAGACAAATTACTTTGTGTTGCTAACCTTGCAGTGCTGACTATCTGGTAGAAGCAAGCCATAATGCACCAATGAGTGCTGGATCTTTCCTGTTTTACTTCGTATTTCTACAAAAAGATGACAGTTGGTACAAGATGCCAGTTGTCACATTATACATGAAACTACTACAAACTGCTTTCACAGTGAAATGTCACAATGCACATGTTGTTTGGGGAAAGAGAAAAAGGAAAGTAAATATTGGAAAGGTAATGAGTAATCAAGCTTAAAATCTTTCACACTAGATCCTGAGTGGTGCAAAAGAGAGAGACCAACAGTGATTTTAACAGTTTTATCCCTTTCCTGAAACTCACAATAGGGTTCATTAATTTTTCATTTCTTTACTCTAGCTCCAATACCTTATTAAAGTTTCTGCATTCTTGATGTTCTTGGTCTGCAAAGCAACATTTTCAGAGGAAAGGTACTACAGAAAATTAAAGCTGGAGTTCCAGAGTTTGCTGTATTTTTTTTTTCACTGTTCCCTAAAAAGATTTGAAAAATACATTAATAAGAATATCTGGATTTCTGGGATCTTACCACTGTTTTCTATCTGCTGGCGTTTATTTGTCCCATGACTTCTCATTTTCCTGTAAAAAAAAAAAAAAAAAAAAAAAAAAATATTTGTAAAATTAAATACATGCATAAAAATGTAAAAAATGTAGAGCAGAGGATTCTGGAGTAAAGCATAGTCCATAATTCTGCTAGAAGTTTGGAACACCTATAACTATGCTCAAAGCTGAGAGAATCAAGAGAGCTCTGAGTTTATTCTTCCTGTATATCCCCGTATGAAAGCACTCGGTTCTGTGTGATTTATAGAACACTCGGAAGACGTGATTCCAATTCCTGTGGGCAACTGGGATTTGGCTTTGTCTAGCAACGCGAAACAGAAACAGAATTTCAAAAATGTAACCTCCTCGACTTGAAAAGGTTGGTCTGTCCTTGTGATAAAGAGACACTGGAATGAGAAATGGTGAAAGAAGGGCAGTGCACTGACAGCTGTTGAGATGCAGAATAAAGGTCACACTGTTAATGGACAGGATGGAGGAAACGCTAACCATTGGATACTATTACCTGTGTTAGAAACAGTAGCTTCAGAAAAGGGTGTAAAGTATCACTAATCGGGGATTCCTTGCTGTGAGGCACCAAAACACCTGGTTTCCATCCAGGCTGTTTCTCTAAAGAAATTTGCTGCCTATCGAGGTCTTGCATTCACAGTGTCACTGAGAGGCTGCTGAGCCTAGTGAACCCTTCGAATTACCATCTGCTCCAATAACATTCTATGTAGGGTCTGTGGCAAAGCAACTTTGAACACTCAAAAAAGACTGTATCTATCCCTCACGTCAATGCTGAAGCACAAAGTGCTCCTCCATCCTCCCAGTCAGAGGTAGGGGTTTATAAAGGGGGAGTCAAATTGAAAGGTGAATGCCTGGCTGCACAGCTGATGTCCTACTCAAGGTGTTGGCTTATATGATCATGAATCTACCTTTGGAGACTGGGTCTGTTGTGAGCTCATGGGACTCACCTGATAAAGCAGGGCAGAAGGTTGTTCATCAACCACCTGGCCAGACTTATATGAAGAGCTTTAAATTAGATTTATTGGGGAAGGGGATGAAGTTTTGAGCAACAGAGAAGAACCAGGGGCTGCTTGATGTATTAGAAGCCATCACAGGAACACTGTGGAGTGCCTCAAAGGCATTGGGGAAGTATTCATCTAAAGAGGTGAAGCAGCCTGTAACCTGGGCGATGTGCCCCTGTACTGATGCAGGTAGCATGGGTGACAAACAACAACAGCTGGAAATCACTGTGCAGCTACAATGCTGTGGTCTAGTCACTGCAATGAACCATGAAGGGACAAATTGCACAGCTGGAGCACTGCGAAGAGTGGCTATGAACTGTTCAGAATGGACAGGCAAGGAAGAAGGAGTGAGAAACAGTGAGGAAGTTGTTACTTTCTATGTAAAAAAAAATGCATAAATTTCACAGAGCTGCCATTGAAAACCAACAATGAGCAATTATGAGTAAAAATTAGGGTCAGGCCAAAAAAGGGAGATCTCATGGTCGGTGTTCACTACAGGCCACCAGATCAAAGGGAAGTTGTTAATGATGTATTCTTACTTAACAGCTCTCAGGCTCTGATCTTCAAACACCCTGACATCTGCTTTAAAAACAGCACAGCAAACTGTAAGCAGTCCGGGAGATTCCTGGAGTGTGTTAAGGATAATTTCTTAATCCAGGTGATAGACAGTCCAAGGAGAGGAGAAGCGTTACCAGATCTGTTGCTTACCAATTCAGATAAACTAATCAGTCATGCCAAGATGTGTGTTAGCCTGGCCTGCACTGATAATTCCCCGACTAAATTCACAATGTTGAGGTATATGGGCCAGGTGCCAGATGAATAATCCTCACCTTTAGGAGAGCAAAAGCTGTTTAAGAAACTAGTGGATTGAGACCCTCTGGGAAACTGCCCTCAGGGATAAAAGAGATGAAAAGAGCTGGCAGCTCTTTAAGAACATTCTTCTCAGAGCGCAAAAGTTCTTGTTTCCAAGTAAGAAACCTGGAAAGAAAGGCAGGAGACCAGCCAAAGGTAGAAATGCAAAGGCAGTGGAACCAGGACAGATATCCACCTTGGGAAGAATATGACACTGCCTAGATATATAGAGAAGGGAGCAGAAAACCTAAGGCAGAGTTGGAGCTGAACTTGTCAAGGGATTCAAAGAATAATAAGGACTTCTACAGTTTTGTTAGATAGAAAAGGATGATTAAGGAAAACATGGCACCTGAAAAAACAAGATAGGAGAACTTTTGGCAGTCATCATGGAGAAGTTGAGTTACTCTGCAACTATTTTTGCTTCAGTTTTAATGTTAAACTCTCTTCTCACACCTCTCAAGCCCCTGAACCTCAAGGCAGAGACGGGGGGAGTGAAGTTCAGCCCCAGCACCAGCTGAGAATCCTGAACATAAATAAGTCCATGTGAGACAATGAGAAGTAACCCACCACTACATAAAGCCTAATTCACCCTAGCTTTCAGTGCTGTAACATGTTTAATTTCAAGAGAGATCCAAGATGAATTTTCCTAAGAATGTAGTCGCATATTTTTGTTGAATATTTCATACAGAAGAATGGCAATATTCACCAAGAAATGATCCTCCTGGGAAATGCTAACAATAAAGATTGTTTTTGTTTCATTAGGTTTTCTTTAAGTCTTCCAGCAGAGCTCTATTGGTACTTTGTTGGATTACTCAATCCATTTCCATCTGCCTTCAATTAGTTTTGCATTTAATATTCATACATTTCTGGAACTGGCTAAGAAACAATGAAGATGGGAACTGGGATTAGGAACTGATTTTAGTCCTTGGGGAGGATTTAACAGTGAAGCAGCAAAATTACTTTATTGTAACCTTTGTGGTGAGTAAAAGAAGGTTAAAGGACTTCATTTTTTCTCCAACATCACTTCTGTCACAGATCTCAGCACCATCTTAACAAAGACTTAATAGAAAACAAGGAAATGTGCTGAAGGTACTACCTATGCTATAGGTTCATGGTGAATGAGTTTCAAAAAGAGCAAATGTGGGTGGTGTTGTCTCTCTACTGTTCAGTGTCCAGCAGCTTTGCATGCAAAGAGGAAAGCACGTTAGGAAGGTGTGGCCGGTGTCCTGTATTAAGGTGATGTCACACACTGCCTCCAGGATGACTTGTACCCGAGTTAACATTCCTCTAGCAAGGACGTGCACCACAGCAGGGAAGCTGAGGCAGCAGAAACCACAGGACTGGCCATACTGGCTGCGTGCCTCTATGAAGTTATCAGATGCTTTTACTGTGTGAAACTCATGCTGCTTTTCTGCCTGTCACACGCATGATGCAGTTACCTCTCTGACCTCAAAATAAACATGGTGGACAGCTGATAACCTCTCTGCTTTATTACCAAATTCATGAAAACTTCTGTGCCAGTAGGAGAGCTCCCTGTTTGGCTTGGAGTCTAGTACTTCTTTGAATGATACTGTAAAAAGCTAACACATTTTCAATACAACCCATCACTATTGCTGAAAAGCAACAGCTTTCCAGGTATTGTTCACTGAGCCAATTTTTTTCCTGTTTGTATATAGCACCAAGTGTAATTAGAACATATGGCAAGGGAAGAAACGCTGTAGGCTCATGCACTGTTACCTTCCTTCCCATCTGCTTCAGGAACTGAGTGTCCTGCCTTTGTTGCTCCTAAATTGTTTAGTCCAAGTGTGCCATTCAGGAGTGAGATGGACGGGGAAGGGAAGATTTTAAAGGGCACAGTCAACTGTTTTCAGGGTGGAGCCTTTCTTAAAGCTCCAACAGCTGAACAAGGAACAGGGAGAGCAAGATGTTTGGAATTTCTTTTCCGGAAAACTTTAGTGTAGATTCCGTGGCTGATGAGAATACTTGAAAGCAGACCTTAACGTAGACCTTAGTTTAGCATACAAAACAGCAAGCATGAACTGGATGGCAGATGGAAAGAACCACCCAAATTCCACATTTTAAACACAGATAACACATTTTGAAGATTTAAATTTGAAGGTCAATGCTGCTTCTACCCAGAAATCCTGACAAGTGTTTCCATTCCCATGGTGTAAATCCCAGATATGTCCTCTCTTTCCACAGGTATTTGGGACTCATCTTTCTGCAGTTCTGTCACTTTTCCTCATTTCTGTCTAGAATGACATCCTCTAGGGATGTGATCTGAGAAGTGGAGGCCCTGGATGTGGGACGTGCTGCAAGGGCTGCACAAAACAATCCACTGGAGTGCATGAAGAAACTATTTTCTGTACCATTTATAAACAGAATAAAATTAAACTGAGATTAAAATATTGTGATTTTTCATCTTTATGTAATTTTTTTTCCCACTTTCTATTTTGGTGCATGTTTTATAATGTACCTAGTATGTTATTACAGCAATACACATATATAACTAATAAATAAACATATACACATATATTGACCTTGTGTGTTCAAAAACTGTTTTCTGGTATTGTTATACAATGAAAAAAATTCAGAGAACATTGACTTATTTTTAATTTGTGGTAAAAGCAGGTATTAATGGCTAAGAAAGGAAAGTAAAAATCCATGTAAGCTTCACTTATTCCAGGAAGAATAATTTTCTAGCTCAAGATATTGAGGACTCTGGCTAGTGCTTGAGCCTTTGTATTTGATCAAATAATGAAAAGTATGAGTTACATTATTTCCCCAATGATGGCTGAGACAAGATTATCTCTTGTTTGTACTTGTTGCTATATCTAACATTAATCTCTTTGCAAATATCAGGTTAAGTTCATACTCTGCTCTATTTTCCTAGTGCCTTTAGATCAGACTCTTCTGTCCTATATCTGCCTGGAAAAGGCTGAATTTTGCCAATTGGCACCTCACCCACTTTTCAAAACTTCAGTGGGCATATTTCCATGAGAATCCCCAGTGTTTTATCAGTGACAATCTTAAACTCTCTTGTGCTTACATCTTGCATTTGTGAGATGTCACAGGGCACAGAGGAAACACAGTTCTTAATGTTCAGTGATGTAAGTTTTTGTTTTCGATGTGATTCTGAGAATGTCTTTACTTTAGCCTTGTCATAATATGAATAAAGCACTTGTATACAGTTTTAGATGTGTAGATTAAGAGAAATTTAATTTTTTTATTTTGTCTTTTTTGAAATTTTGAAGGTAGATGGTACCACCTCCCTCTTCCCATCCTATTAGTCAGTAGTCCATGAAATAATTCCTTCATATACCTGTCTGTCTGTCCATCCATCCATCCATCCATCCATCCATCCATCCATCCATCCATCCATTCATCCATCTCTCCTCTACTTCTTGGACCTGGACTTGTATTTAAGTGAATATCTCTCCACATCTTGGTAAATTGTCAAAAAGCAGAAGTAAATATTTCTTATGTACTATGATGAGAATCCCAGAATACATTGTATAATTTGTGTGTATTCCAAAATTATTTTTCGATTTCAAAGTTTTGGCAATTTACTTTTAGTTCTTTGTTTACAAAAGAAAGAGGACAGAAAAAGTTAAACTAATTGTGAAGAAACCTATTTCTTCCTCCCAGTTAAATCAGTGAAAAGGTCAGGAACTGGGAACTTCATAGCAACCCATGGGACCCACGGGTCTGGATAACTAAGGCTTCTGCCAGAAGAAATTGGTGCCTGGAACATATGGCTGAATGGTATTCAGATTAGAAACAAAGCTCCTTTTTCAAGGTGCAGGATAATTAACCATTTCAGCAACTTGCTAGAAGACGTGGCAGCATCTATGTCTGATCTATATAATTTAGTGCCTTAAATGAAGTCTTGTTACCCAACCACAGGAAAATTATGTGTGGTACTGTTAGCTTTATGTTACTGAGGGAGTGACAACCTTTTGGATGCCCTGCGTGGATGCACATGGAAGAGGAAAGCTCTCTGACACTTTGTGCAGAGTTATGAAGTTAGGTACAGACTTCTTTTATATGAGATATTTTGCATATATTATGTAAGTGGAACTGAAATACATTTACCATTTTTGTTTTGTGACTTGTTGTGTTGCACTGATTTAGACCTGACTCCAAACATCATGCTTGGATAATAAATAAATCATGCCATGCTGCAGTCCTCACTTTCTTAACATATATGGTCTTTCAGTCCTGGTAATCTATAGGAGAGGAATCAAAGGCTGAAGACAAAAGCAGACTCTCTGAAAGGCTTAGGGTTCTTTGAAGTCTGCTGCATTGGCAGAACAGGGAAGGAAATTCTGTCACAGCTTGAAAAGGAAAAGAAATCAAAGATACTTACTAAAACATATGCTGCTTCAGTATTCTAAGTCACAGGTGTTCTTTCTTCCTTTAGTTTATCCCAGGGCTTGGAATCAGTCTCTACATTCAACTGTGCCGTGAATCTTGAGGAGCAGATTTACAGCACATGCTGTTGAATGGCAGGTACTCACTGACTGAACTGCATCAGAACGAGCGAGACAGTCGGGAAATAAGGACTGAGCTCAGTCTCTGACTGCCTGAATAGTTTGGTCTGTGCTACCCTCAAAAGCATTCATTCACCTCACTGCTGCCAGCACTGTTCTATCTGATGGCTCTACAATTATTTTTTACATCACAGAGAGCTAAAATTTACCTGGGATACAAGACAGCCAGCTATCACTAATTGAACTGAGGGAGAGGGCACTCAGAGTGCCAGGATCCCTTAAGCACCTCTTAAGATCCAATTTTTCACTATCAGATTTTATTACTAGGGACACATGAGGCCCACAATACAGTATTTAATGAGTCATGAAGGCTGAAGAAACTCTCAGGAGCCCAGGAAGTTCAGGCATCTTCTTCTCTCTAAAAAGGGAAAATGGGACCGTGGGGAACAACTTGAACCTGGGGAAAGACTCTTAGGCACATTATTAATAATTACATTTAGAAGCTCTCAAGAGCATATTAAAAGGATAGAAAGCAACTGATATGGATTTGTTAAGAATAAATCATATCAAAGAGATACAATTTTCTCCTTTGGCAGCCCATCTGGCCTTGCAGGTAAGAGGAAAGCTGCCAATGTGATAGTTTCTGATATCAACAAATCCTCTGAACCCGGTTGCCCTAGACTTCTTTGAGAGACAATGTGGAGAACAAAGAGCCCTCCAGACAGTGGGAGGAATCACTGTGATTCATCCCATGCAGCCATTTGCTTTGTCTTCTAGAACAGGACTGTCTGTCTGTGGCTGACTGGCAAATTCTTCCTGTTTGAAGAACCCTAAGGCTATTGATCTCTACCTGGGGAGGGGGAGTGCAGTGTACCCTGCTGATGAAACTGAAGCTGTTGTCTGGTCTTTTGACAGTGAAACAGAACATGTTGAGGCAGTGTGGCTAGAACTGTGAGGCATACACTGTCATGGTGAGCCTTAACTTGCTTTAAACTTTTCCTTTGTTTCCAGTAATGGAGATATGCTCATTATCCATTGACATTAACCTGTGTGCCAGAAACCAGAAAACCCTAGAAATATGCTTGGAAATTCAATTTGCACTAGATAGGAGGGCCTTCACAGTAATTTTACCTCTTTTTATTACACCTGATAATTTTTATAGAAAATGAAAGAAACCAGATGATGCAGCTGTAAGTTATAGCAAAACTTTTCATCACTTAAGCGTAGTTTGTCACCAAGAAGAAAAAAAACAACCTATTAGCTTACTTCCTAATATTAATTAAATCATGCCTGAAGGTGTAAAACTGTCAAACAAATCTTATCCTCCAAATAAAGCATGAGTTGAGTTGTAAGTTTCATTACTCAGATACATTAGGTAGTTGCAATCTCCTTAGAATTGTCTCAGCAGGAATAAGACACATTTTGTGCAGTGAATTGCCAAGTGCATCTTCTGAGCCGTGCTGACCATACATTATGCAAATTCTGTATAACCCGCTCCCATGGTTCTTCCTGGGATTATTACCCCTCCAATACAGGTGACAGAGTCTAGCAAGAATGGTGTTAGGGGTAGAGATCTATTCCTGAAGAGGTGTGAAACAATTCAGAATGAACAGCACTTTGCATTTCATCAGATTTCCTATCTTAAAACACTAGTTCTGGAGTTATGGGATTATTTCATTTCATTCATTGAAATAGTAGTCTTTTAGAGGTCTCCAGTGCACAGAAAGGCTTGAGAATGTAACATATTCAACTTTCAAGACTCAAACCAGGAAAAAAAATCACAGAGCCAAAAAGAGAAATTATATGACATTTCGAAATATTTCTTTTTAGGGAAATCTTATGCCTAAAAATATTTCAGGTGCAGCCAAAATTAAATAACTTTACATGTAAGAGTGCATAGCTTTAGGTCTTTATTTCTAATTGCAGGAACACAGTTAGCTCTTTGTTAGTGAAATCTGATGTTTCATCTCATGATGCTACGTCAGTGACTAGGGCATGAAAACAAACTCAGACCTTGGGATCAAAGTATGGGGACTGTGAATAATTTGGACTGGCAAAGCTTTTTGTACAACTTTGAAATTGGAGAAACAGCTGCTTGTACTTTAACAAATTAAATGACGTTCCACACAAAAGAAACATGGCAAGAAATGCTGCCTAGACAATACTCAGCAGAAGTTCACAGTACCTTGAAGACCTGCAAGTGTAAACCAGTGGGCTGAAATGGAATGCTGTCTTGATCAACTCCTACTAAGAAAAGCAGCTCTTAGACGTACTGCCAGGATCCTCCCACGCTTTGTAGTCCATTTTGGCTGGTTTTGTATCCTCTCTTTAGCCCTCAGTTGCTGTGTGAAGCTACAGGACATCAAGGAGAAAGAACTCTCTCTTTCTTCTATCTTTGCATGTTGAGTCTTTTAGTCTTTTCCTCTCCCTTTCTCCAGTCATCTCTGTCGTGCTGGCCTAATTTCCGTGAAATGTTCTATACTTTAAATTCACTTTGAAAGTTTTGGTCTGTGTAAAAAAGTTCTTCAACTCTGTCTTGCAGATGTCTTTCTGTGCAGCACAGCATAAGATGCTTGCTCTTGCTCCTTTCAAGTGGTTCTGTGAGACTCTCTTCGTCAAATATGTAAGGAAATTATTATTACAGCTCTTAACTCCTTTTGACAGGTGATCCTGTTAGTAACACTTGCTCAGTAATGGAACCTGCTTATCTCCTTCTGGGATTAAGACATTTTCTTCAGCACAGCTGTAGGTATGAAGGCCCTGCAGAGCTGGGAGTAACTTCCTGGTCTGACACCTGGACAGACCACAACGCTTACAGGGGAAAACAAATGGTGACACTTCACAAAGATGCTCAGGGATGTAGCATGAGTCCTATTTTCCTCTCAGACAATGCTTCAGAGTCTCTTTCCTTCCCTCTGTGTCCGTGCTGGGCCACCTGGAGTAAACACTGTGGTTCATTGGGGCTTGTGGTTAATTTGTAAAGACCAGAAACTCACCGTGGACGCTGTTGTTCTTCCTGTACAGACACAGGTGTTGTCTGTCCGATAAGAGAAATAGTTGTCTTGTGACAAGCCAGTTGTCCTGGAGTGCAGCAGATGATTTGCTGTGTGGGGACTTTGTTCCACTTCAGCCAAGCTTGTGCCACAGCATGCTTGCATATACGCACACAAATGAAACGGTGGAAGAGGAGTGAGAGTACTTGCAGATGCTTAGCAGGCTTTTGGACTATTTTGCTGGGAAAAGTACAGGTGGAAAAACAGTTGCCTCTGAAGCGGAAATCTGAGTTACAAGAAGTACAAACATTTTGTGTCCCTCTCTCACTTATGCATCTATAACTCAATAAAGCAAATAAGCTCTGTTGGTAGTGAGCAATTTAGTTGTTATTGAGGCACCAGGTGCGGGAAGAATGCATTAAAATGCATGCTGACTGGTAGGAACATAATCATGGAAGTTGTACAAAATTTGAATATATTTGCACAATGCATTAATTTCGTCCTTAAGTGTACTCCACAACATTTCTCTTACAGATTAGGGCTTGATGCAAAATCCTTTGAAGGAAATGTGAAGAATCCTCTTGATTCTGGAGAATTCTGGATTGGTGTCTTTATGTGTAACTGCCAGTTGATAATTTCACTCCATAAACTTAGGAAGTTTCATCACTGTCTGGCAGAAAAATAAACTAAAAGAGCTTGTGGAAATGAGGATCCCAAGAGGAGGTAGCAGTTTATGAAGAGACAATAGATAAACTCATTGCAGGAATTATTAGGCAATTTAAAATCTTCTTCCAGGCAGACATACCATAGTGTTTCTCACATACATTAACTAGGCACAGAGTTTCCATTCACCTTCCAAAGAAATAATTTTGTTTCTGTGGGTTTGGGTTCAACTGCAAAGGTGCCAGATCTTTGTCTGATTCATTTGACTTCACCTGTGAGTGGCTGCTGACCGTCGGTGTGGTAACACAATTCTTTGAAATGGGAAGCCCTGCCACATCCCTCCTCTAATCACTACCATAAAGCATTGCTGCCTCCACAACAAGGCTTCCAGCTTCCTTTTTTTATTTTTTTTATTTAATTACTTCTCCTGCACATGAAGAGAGTTGGTCGTTATGACTCTCGCTTTTGGCCCAAACCTCACCACACCTAAAGCAAACAGCAGGTGGTCATCTCCATAGCAGAATCCCTTCTTCACTTCGTGACTGATGCTGCACTCATATCAGAGGATTTGTAAGGATATGCAAACTTCACCTATACTGGATAAATTATGGTTTTGAGAAGTTTTGTTACTGGGACGAACCAATCAAACACAATCTGGCATTGAAAAAAACAACTGAGAAAGACAATTTTTTCTTTACAAACAGAAACATTTTTCCCCTTTTTAAGTTTAAAGCAAAAGTTCTTCGAGTAGAAAGGTGTACAGTGGTGATTTCTCATGGTGCAATGGATTAGAGAGTGTTATTCTGGCATTCCAACCCTTTTTAACATAGGCTCCAGCGTCTCCCTGAATATGGAGGGCAACATGATGACATATCCTACAGCATCATGTCCTATGTTTCTGAGGACTGCTAGAAATGACAGTTCATTTCAAGAACTGGAGTGAAAATACAGATAAAGGAATGACAGGGTTGTTTAACACTAGAAGGATCTGAGTTATTTGTAATCCCCACAAGAAAGATGCTCAAACTCCCTAAAAGTACTGCTTAAAAGTGTGTTTATTAGAGATAATACTATTAAGAAAGAGAGCAAAATATAGACAAACTTACTTCAAGTGCTGGCAATCTCAAGTTGTGCAATATAGAATGGGTGGGGCATACTGTGCAGATCCATCCGTGGAAAGTTTATTCTTTTTCATTCCTCTGAATTCTTATAAGATTTTCTTACAAGGAAAATAATTATTTTTTTTGTTTTCATTGTTCAAGAAAAGGGGATTCCTGTAGAAACTTGCTGCTTCATTACTAGATAAAGGTAAGGGCATGCA